TCATCACTGATATCATTAATGACATTTAGTTTTTTATCTGTACCTTGAAATGTCAATGAGAAACTGAAACAGCTACAGTATGCTGTAGCTACTAGGATTTTAACTTTTGAAACAAAAATCACAAAGAAAAAGCCTCAATCATGCTGATAAGTAAGTGGTCGTAAAACGTGAAAGTGAAAGCAATGCTGACCAAAAAAAGAAGTTTGCTTGATATTAATGCTAGCCTTTAAAACCAAAAATATGTTCTGTTACAGAAGACTGAAATCAGGGCTTCCATTAACCTTGTTTAAAAAAAAATCCCATGAGCATGGATTTTTTTCCTAAGTCTCTTCATCAGAGCAGCATGGGGTCCCATTAGGCACCCTATTTTACTTCCACCTTATAAATAACGTTAGCTGTTCGCTATTTCCATGGAAACCAAGTACAGAGAAACCCACTTAAATGAATACCGGTTAAAGGAATAAGTTTTATTTTAGAAAGGTTTGGCTGCTCTAGATGAACTCTACTGGGGAATACTACAAAGTCATCTTAAGTATAATTTTTAAAATATATCTTTGGTGTAGAGGGAGCTTATTAAGGGTCCTGTTAAATAAGTACACTCCTTGCACTAAACTAAATATGCCAGAGAGCATCATAACGTTAAAGATACCTTTTCAGTGCACCGCACAGGGGTTTAGATGCACAGCTCCCAAAGACTATGCTTCCCCATGCATTGGGGTGGAATAATTACCCCTATGGGTCTAATTTAAACTAATAAAAGCAAGGAAATTCAGAATGAAGGCTACCATCACCTTGTAGTAACTAGTAATGAACAGGCCCCACAACTGCAGGCACACACACAACTTAATACTCTTGCAAAGAGTAGCAAACAAGAGAGCAAATAATTTTAGTTCCTAATTACTGCTACTAGGTCCAGGGATAGCAGGTAGTCAAAATTCCCTCCTTAACAAACTATTTATGAGTTATAACATGTACTCCTTTGTCAATCAATACATACACTCTCTGAAATAGAAATAGAACATGCAGAAGGAGAGAGTGCAGAACAAGATTTAGTGATTTCCAACTTCAAGTGGACTTAAATATTGCCCTACATATTCTAGAAATGACCATTATTGGTGGCCCAAAAGAAAGCTGCAGATAAGTAAGTGTACATAAAATAAAATGCAACTTGTAAAGGGTAAGAAAAATAAAATCTTGGGGGTGAAAGGTGGGAAGAGATAAACCAAAGAACTTATACATATATGCATAACCAATGGACAGACAATAGTGTGGGGAAGGCAGGAGGGGTGTGCGAGCGGGGAGGAGGAAGTCAATGGGGGAAACCAGTGGAACATCTGTAATACTTTCAACAATAAAGATAAAAAAAAGAAAACTAAAATCTTTACACAGCAGATGTGGTTCTCCATTAAGTTAGTGGTTTTGACTTCTTCAGTAAGTCAAAAGACAAATGAATGCACTATTACCCTAAAAGGTGACTAGCAAAGCAGCCTGACTGTTGTCCTAAGTGATTGTTGGTCATGTTTTTCATTGTAATCACTTCCTTACAGTCTTTTAAACTTCTCCACATGGGGGTAAATAAAGCAGATTTGTTTGGGGCCCCTAAATTTTGGGGACAATTTGGCACATTCCAGTTTTGGCAGTGCTATGATAAAACCTTTGTTTTTCACCTCCCCCCCAAAAGGTGACTAACAGTATTAAGTTGACAGTGTATGAAAAGAGTTAACATTCTCACACAAACTTTTCTTTGAGTATACCAATGCATCTATTTGTATTTCATATTTCAAAAACAAAATTACTTAACTTGTATGTTTTACACACTGTAACAGCTGGCAGAATGCTAATAATTGCTGAACTTGGGTAACAGGTAGGTGGAATTTTAATATTATCCACTAATATTCAGGCTCTTGTCTCTGTATGTAATCACAGCTAATTTCCAAGTTTTACTGTTCTTACCAAAACAATTCAGTTAACACTTCACAACTACTAAGAGAAAGCTGTAAAGGGTCTGCCATTTTGCAACTACCAACTAATGAACTGTGAACAATCAATATATAATAACAAGGCATCATAGTCATATTTTATACTTTACAAACTAAAAGAAATTCTATTAGCTCAAATACTAAGTCAAAATAATTTCAGAATCAGCAACACCAACATTTCCAATTTCTTTTCCAATAGGTCCACAGGACTACAAAGGGCAATCTAATGTTTCCTATTTCAGTTAAGTAACAAGGCTGTCCCTTCCCCCACTATATCCCCACCTCACCCCCTACCAGAATACAGCAATTTCTGAGGTAAAAAGGTCTTTTTCTACTCTCTCCCTTAGTCCAGATATAAAATGTTTCACACTCGGTTATTTCACAAGTGATTTTAAGCCATCCATTATCCAACTCCTGGTGGAGGGCCCAAAATGAGGAGGTACACAACCTGTTAAAGCCTTAAGGTCTTGATAGCAGTTTTCTGTTTAAAAACGAATAATTACAATTGTGGGTTTTTTTTTTTTTTAAGAGAAATAGAATCAGATGGTGGTGGCTCTGGAGGAAGTGACGAACACCAGGAGACTGGGGATGAAGTATGCAGAGAAGACACAGCAAAGAGTAAGGAAGAGAGGAAAGGAAAGGCAGCGGAGGGCGTGTGCGCAACGGACGGCAGCATTTCCCTATTTAGCAGCTAAAGTACCGCCAAAGCGGACAGTTCCCGCACAAGCCACTGAGTTCAGCCCTGTCACAGGCAGCACCCACCACCTTTTACATGGGCAGGGGCAAGCTGATTTTCAGAATAGTATCATTATTTAAATCAATTCCAAAAGACCCCATAGAGTCTATTTCTAACTCCTATATTTATTAAAATGAAATAACTTCTAAATTTTTTACAATTCCATTTACCCAAGAGATGCAATTTTTATAGGCCCTGCATACAGGCTGAAGTAATGAAAACTTAATACCATACATATGCTATGCTAATTCTAAAACTGCAATGCTTTACTTACTGACCACCCTAGCTATTGTAAACTAACATTACAATTTTTTAACTGAAAGAAAACTATACAGCCTGCTATAAGATTGCTTAATTTTAAAAATATATGTTGAAGTAAAGTACAGCACTTTATCAAAACAAACTTATTGGAATTTTTGCTCAGAGAACAGAAACAATGTTTTAGGAATACAGACAAAATAAAATATAGTAAATACTTCTATCCACCTACAAGACCTTTTTTTTTTTTTTAATCCTCACGCGAAGATATTTTTTCATTTTTTGTTCAGATAGAGTGGGAGAGAGAGAGAGGCAGAGAGTGAAACATCAATGTGAAAGGTACACATGGAGTGGCTGCCACCCGCACGACCCAACCAGGGCCGGGGACAAACTTCAACCGAGATACGTGCCCTTAGTGGGAACCGAACCTGGGTCTCTCTGGATCACAGGCCGACGCTCTAACCACTGAGCAAAATCGGCCAGGGCTCCACCCACAAGACCTTTATCAAATGGTACAGCTGGGTAAATGAGAACAAAACATTAATGGAAGTCAATTACAATATACCCTTGAACACCATGGGTTTGCACTGTGCAGGTCCACTCACACAGGGGGTATAAAAATCCACACATTGGTAAACCCGTACAGTTCTAACCACGTTGTTCAAGGGTTAACTCAAATGCTCACCAGTGAGAATAGATAGCATATTCAGATGTTTGTTTTTAATCCTCACCTAAGGATATTTTTCCATTTATCTTCAGATAGAGCGGGAGGGAGGGAGAGAGAGGGAAAGAGACACATCAACTGCTTGCCTCCCGCATGACCTGGGGATGAACCACAACCAAGGTATGTGCCCTTGATTGGAATCAAACCCAAGACTCATTGATCCACGGGTCAGTGCTCTAACTGCTGAGCCAAACCAGCCAGGGTGTATTCTGGATGTTTTGAGAAGCTATTACAAATACATGTGTTGAATCTTGGCGGGGGAGGAGGGACCTACACAAAGATCAAAAAAGTTTCAGATTTGCTCGACTGCTGTGGCTCAGTAGACTGAGCACAGTCCCATGGACTAAGAGGTCCCAGTTTAATTCCCAGTCAGGGCACATGCCTGGGTTGCAGCTCAATCCCCAGTGGGGGCATGCAGGAGGCAGCCAATTGATGTTTCTCTCTCACATCGATGTTTCTATGTTTCTCTCCCTTCCTCTATCTCTAAAAAGTCAATAAAAACATATTTAAGCCCTGGACGGTTTGGCTCAGCGGTTAAAGCATTGGCCCGTGGACTGGAGAGTCCCAGGTTCAGTTCCCACTAAGGACACATACCTCAGTTGCAGTTCGTCCCTGGTCAGGTTGGGGTCGTGTGGGTGGCAACCATTCAATGTGTCTCTCTCACACAGATGTTTCTCTCTTTCTTCCTCCCTCTCTCCCTCCCATTCTATCTGAAGATGAATGCAAAAATGTCCTCTGCTGAGGATTAAACAGATATACATATTTAAATATATAAATATATTTATTTATTTTTTTAAAGTTTCAGACCTGGCTGGTTTGGCTCAGCGATTTGAGCATCAGCCCGAGGACCAAAGAGTCATAGGTTCGATTCCGGTCAAGGGCATGTACCTTGGTTGTAGTTCAATCCCTGGCCCTGGTCAGGGTCCTGCGGGAGGCAATCAAGCAACCAATCAATGTGTCTCTCTCACATCAATATTTCTCTCTCCCCTCCCACTCTATCTGAAGATAAATGAAAAAATATCCTCGGGTGAGGATAAAAAAAAACAAGTTTCAGATCCAAATTAGTAGTGAAAGAATAGAATTCATTCTATTTTACACTTAATGATCATTCCCCTCTCCTCAATTACTGATTTTACTTACCAGATAGACATATACATATATACATATACACATATACACACTCATATACATATAAACATACTAATGCATATATTAAAAACACAAATTTCTTAGCAAAAAAAAATCTTAATTCTGAGATCACTGTAAGGCAGCAATGTAAAGAGTGACTTTTATCCCAATCAACCTGTTCTCAGGCCCAGTTTCTAGACTCAATATAGGTAACACATGACAATTAAATATAAAAAGAAAATAACAATTGTCATAAAAAAAAAAAAAGACCAGGCACTAGATGAAAGGAAATTTCACAAAGTCAAAATGCCTCAAAACCAAAGGCAAATAAAACTGTGTCCAGCATTACCAGAAAGCATTTTTGTGCCAGGCTTGTATCTCTGGGGTTCTACAATTGTTTCCATTCGTTACTACACCCAGTATGTGTTCTCAAGAGTTAAACAAACACACAATTTGTCCTGAGCAGTAGACCTAATAGACTGACCAGCTAATTAGTATTTTGGACTTCTGAGTTAACAATGACTAGTCTACTACTTACTATAAGCTGTACCAATATACTGGTACAAAAAGAGCTTGTTATCACTAAGGGTTTTAATAAATATAAAGTGCCCTGAAATACTTTTTAAAGTCTCTGTTATATCTGACATATTCCCATTTATTTTTTATTTCTCATCCACACCTTTTCTCACCATGACATTTCAGGAAAATACTCTCCTTTCTAGCTAAGCTGTTCCCATATTTACTGTTTTCCCATAAACTTTTAGTGGGGCTGCAACACTAACAATGATAACAGCAGTTATCGCTTATCAAATGTCTTAAGATTTCCCCATTTTTATCTGCACATCAATCCAAAGAGGTTGGTATGATCATCCCTATATCATAGACAAAAAAAACAACAACTGAAGTCCAAGTGAACAGCACAGTGCTTGGTACAAAGCATGTACAGGAGAAATCTTGTTTGAAGGGAACTTAAATAATTAGTCCAAAGTCACACATTGAACTTTAAGTGGTTGTACTAAAATTCCAATACAGAGGTCAGACCCCAAAGCTAAGACTCTTTTCCCACTATGCAACATTTGTCTCAAGCCTTGAGAAAAGAAGGAAGGAGTCTGGAATTAAAAGTAATAATATCTAATAACAGCTACCATTTATTTAGCACTTTTTACTAGGTGTGAGGAACTTCTCATTGTTAACATATTAATTCATTCATTTCTCATAACAACCTCAAAAGATGGGTTGCGGATGAAGAAACGGAGGCAGAGGCACAGAGGGTAAAGTGATTTCACCATGGTCACAGAGCTCATACAGGGCAAAACTGAGAGGTGAGCCCATGCAGACTGGCTCCAGTTCCAGCGCGATACTCTTAACCACTGCACTGTACAGCTATGCTGAAAACTGCCCTTCACTTGAATTGCATGACGAAAGAACTTTTAACTTTCTTAACAAAATTACTAAATTGTAAGCCTTTGTACTTTGACGAATTGAGAGAAAACTGTAGTGCTTTTCCAAGCATGCGCACCAGACTTCTTTACAGGCACACAGGATATGCCCCTGGTGATTAGATCATTGCACTGTTCAGGAAGTCGCACACTGTAAATCTGGTTAAGAGCCCCCAGCCCATCTCTCTCCACACTCAGACCCACACTAACCACGCACTGAAAGAAACTGGCAATTCAGTGATGTCCCAGTGCAATCTTCTATAAAATAAATGTCACTCTGGAAGTATCCAAGTGTGCATAGTGCCCTTCCATCACCCTTTCTTCTTCTTTCCAACACCATAAAAAATAGCACAAAAGGAATGAATGAATCTAAGCTACTTAAAAATCACAACAAATGTCCAATGGTAACTTCAAATTTAAGTGAAAAAAATGCAAACTTCTCAGTTTTGCAACTTGTCCAAATTCTGCATTCAAAAACCACTAGGCCTCTTTGAAAGACTCAATTCTTAAACTACCTTATTATCATAAATGTGCCTTGAAGGATGCAGAGAAAAGGCCGTTTTTTTGCCTCAGATTCAACATATCTTGATATGCATATTTAGCACAAGAATCATTACTGTTACATTATTAAGTTATTGGGCTTTTTACCCTAATGTCTATAAGTATGACAATGTATTTAATTACACAAATAAAATATTACCCATGGACTTAATATCTTTATATTAATATGTAATGTATACAGAAAACAAATACATAGAACAGGACGGACTTGGAAGTACTGAGAACTTGACACAATGAGAACAGGAACTATTGCAGCTCCCTCCATTGACATCGTAAAGTTGCCACATTTTCTGGGCTCTCTTTTGAATTAATGTGGCATCTGTTCCAAGTACAGAATGCTAACATTTTACTAAAAGATATTTTCATTCTACATTTGTATCTGGTTTCTTATTATTTGAACTACTGTTTTATTTCAGTGGTCATTATTTCTTTACACCAACTTGTCAATTTAGCATTCCTAATCTATCTCCCCTGAGCACAAAAAGGGTGGGGAGAAACCATTCGCTTAAAGCCCTCCAACAGCAATAATTACAATATGCTTTGCATATAGATTAAATAAAGAAAATAAGCAGCACAAAGATTTTTGTAGGCTTTTTAGTATCAGGTCCTGATAAGTTAACGGCATCTGTTCCTTTCAGAAAAAGAATTCTGCTCTGAGGTATTGAAGGGTTGGGGGAGGGGGAAAGGAAGAGAAGTAAACAAATACTAAACAGAATGATTCAAGCTACAAAGTTTGGCCTCCATGAAATGATGATTTCAATAATTTTCACATATCCAACTCTATCGAGTGGTAATTGCTTTTTAAGACATCCTCAAAAATGCTGCAGCAAAAAGCCAAATACAACCAGTTGTATTTAACATGCATGCTGCATACTCCACAATGTTACGTCATATCAGGCACAGAGAAGACGCTTACCAAGCTATCCTGCATTCTATAAACTGCCTAACAACAGAAAAGGCACTGCCAATCTCCACAGTGGGAATAGGAGCTGTCAGAGTAGGCAGCCTTTTCCCTTTGGTCAACTCTGAAGGAAACAAACAAGGCCTATATTTCTGTCTTTTAAGCTCACCTCTATCAAGGCCTTTACTCTCAATCTTCCAGCCTTTCTCGGAAAGAAAGGCTATTTCTTTAAAATAAAAAAGCTGCAGAAGATCACTCCAACTTAAAAGCCCCACACCTTGTACCAACTGTCCTCCAGATGTCCCCATGGCTTCCTCTTCTATAGAAAGGCCTACCCAGAGCACTAGTCTCTAAGTGGGTGGACCCATCCTAGGGATGAAAGGGGACCATGGGAAAAAATTGTTACAACTTATATTTTTTAATCTCATCCTTTTTAAATTTCACATTTTCTGTATACTTTATAACATATGTAAAATACTAGGCTCAGAAAATTATATTTAAATATACATTTATTGGTGGCCATAATTTTCAAAGTTTGGAGACTACAGGTTAAGAAGACTAAAACTAAAATAAGAGTCAGGAAAATTAGGATCTGACACTCACTCAAATTCTTGTCTCTGCCTCAGTTTTATCATCCATGACATAAACCGAGCCCTTTATACACTTATAAGACTATTATGAGAAATAATAAAATATTATAGGGCATGGTCTGAGCCATCCATACAAAATGAAAAGCATAAATGAATGCTATCAATGAGAAATACTCCTAACTTGGCTTGTTTAAACTTTGACTATACTATAATTTAAATAAGCAGCTACATACTCACTAACAGACCCAATTCCTAGAATTTTAAGGCTGGGCTTCAGCACTTCACTAAATGTGGGTCTAAAGAAGCATAAAGCACCTTAGATACAATCAGTGCATTTCTAGCATTATAAAGATTTTTTCTTAAAAACTTATATAATGAAAAAGTTATTACCTATGAAATAAAAAATTTAATTTAAAAATTACAGAGGTGAATTATGACTAATAACCTTACTAACAAGTTAAAACTCTCAAAGCCAGAATCAGATTATATTTAAAGTACATTATAAGGCCTTGAATGTGTCTTTTTTTTTATATAATGCCAGAAAAAAACAACAACAACATACATTGTTATTCAATAAATTACTGGCATGTCCAATAACTTACCTTGTTTTTATTTTTTTTTTAACTGCTTTTAAATATGCTGAGTTACCAGTATAGCATTTGGTGAGGGTTGAGTGAGTAAGGATAGGGACAGAGGTGAGGTCAGCCAACACTACTGCCCATTAAGATGTGAGTACCAGGACTAATTCCTATGCAGGGTATCTGTATGCTGATTAAGCAGTACTGGCTTGAGTTTCTATTAATTAAAACATTACAAGTATTTTCTTCATTTTAAAACGTTATTTTACATCCTGGCCAATTTGGCTCAGTGGTTAGAGTGTCAGTTCATGGACTGAAGGGTCTCGGGTTCAATTCCTGGTCAAGGGCATGTACCTGGGTTGCAGGTTAGATCCCCAGCCCTGGTCAGGGTCCTGTGAGAGGCAACCAATTGATGTGTCTCTCTCACATCAATGTTTCTCTCCCTGCCTCCAATCTAAAAATCAATGCAAAGATATCCTTGGGTGAGGATTAAATAAATAAATAAAAATAAAACAACTTTTTACTTTGTAAATATTGAATGAATGCCTCCTAACAACCCAGAAGAAAGACTACCAGTTAAAAAAAATTATCTGAAACTACATTTCTTCATAAGTAGCTACCAAAATAACCTAGCAGAATTTAATTTTGAAAATGATGCCTTTTAAATTACTTGTGTAGGACAGAAAACAATATTGTCATTTTAAATTGGTGAACATTTTTTTAAAGCTTTAAAAATAACAATGACCATCTCTAAGGTATTAGGCACACATAAAAAGTAGTTAAAATGCTTTTTGCCCATAGACAATAATCATTCTAGGGCATGAGGTTTATATCTGTTTTATTGTTGACACTATTACAGATGGGCCCCGTTTTCCCCCTCTTTGCCTCCCTCCACTCAGACCCTCCCACCTTTGCCACATTATTATCTGTGCCCATGTAGGTTTATAATCTTAATGTATAAATCTTACCCACCTCTCAACTTCCAACCCCACTCCCACCTGAGTCTTGTTTTCAAAAATAGCAAGTTTTAAAAATAGCCATCTGAAAAAAGTAGATTTCAAGAGAGTATTATGGTATAATTCTATTTATTTTTAAACATATATATATATATAATACATATTGAAATGTACAGGGAAATTTAAAAGCAGAATGAAAATAACTTAATTTTCTACTTTATATATATATATATAAATCTATATTGCTAGAATTACTTTCATAACTCAGATGCATTGCCTTTATAATATTTCTTAAAAGGATATACTTATCAAATCCTCTAAAATGTTGATAGTTACACAGGACTAACTGAAATAGTGAATGTAAACTATTTATTTGCATCTACTAAGAAAATATATAAAATAACCTACCATGCTCAAGTGCCCAACTTATATAACCTTTAAGTAAAAAAAGAAAGAAAGAAATAGACAGTAGCCCTGACCAGGTGGCTACTATCTGGGTTGGAGCATCATCCCCGTACATCAAAGGTTGTGGGTTCAATCCCCAGTCAGGGCACATAACGGGAGGCAACCGATCGATGTTTCTCTCACACATCAATGTTTTTTATCTCTCTCTCTCCCTCTCCCTTTCTCTCTCTCTAAAAATCAATGAAAACATATCCTTGGGTAAGGATAAAAAGAGAAATTGATAGCAGATCCCACTGCCTGCAAGGCACTGTGTTTGGTGATGGGCATATCCCAAATGCCTTCATGTCCATTCCATTCTAATGCAAACTATTTTCAAAATATTCAACCTAACCCAAACCAAAATCAACATGAAACATTCTCAAAATGATACTTCATCGCTGTGGCCATTTCAGTACATTACAAAATTCTTTAGTAATTCACTTTCTGTGAGGATTACATAGTTTAGTTCAGCATTATGACTTAAGAGGAGAGGCTCTGGAATCAAACCCAGGCTTGAATTTAGACTGTATCATTTGCTACCTATATGATTCCAGAAAGTCTTTATTTCCTCATCTGTAAAATGGTGGTAGGGTAGGCCGGCCAGTGTGGCTCAGTGGACTGAGTGTCATCCCATGCACTGAGAGATTGCTGGTTCGATTCCCAGTCAGGGCACATGCCCAGGTTGTGGGCTCGATCCCCAGTATGGGGCATGCAGGAGGCAGCCAATAGATGTTTCTCTCTCTCTCCCCATCTCCCCTCTTCTCTGTCTAAAAAAATCAATAAAAATATATTTATAAAATGGGGGTAGGGTAATAATAGTAAGTCCTCAGAATATTATTGTGAGAATTAAAATTAAATGAGATTCTATATATAAAAAGGATTAGCACTATACATAATACTCAGTAAATGTTGTTAGTGTTATTAATATTATAACAACAGATAACCCTAACGTATGACAACTGTTCACAATTTGTCAAACATTTAAAGTCCTATATCTATGCCATTTCTCTAAGAACAAATACAGATAATTTGTGTAAGATTATATAGTAACACACAAAAATGTTTTTCAACATCCAAGTCCATAATTAAAACTTTTCTTTACTACAACACACCAGTACATTTATGATAACTGTGTATTCAAATACACACACGTGCGCACACACACATACACATACCAATGAGTCAGCACATGCTTTCAAGAACTATCCTGTAACTATGTTACAAACTTGTCTACTGGCCATGGAGGGGGTATCCAGATCAGTAATTATGATTCTAACTCGTATACTTAAATTTTTTAAAATATTAACATTAATATGACATGGACAAATATCTTAAAATCCAGCCACCTATTAGCGAATTTAAAACCCCATTTATATATACTACTCTAGTCTAGTCTATAAAGTACGTTCTTGAGCATTACCTCACTTAATCCTGTTAACAGCACAGTAAAGCAGGCTTTTACCAGTATGCCCATTTTACCACTGGGAAAACTAAATCCCAGCAAGGATGAATTTCCCAAAAGTGTACAGCTAGTGACAGCACTGGTCTTAAAGGCAGGTCTTCTGACATCATCACAACTGTTTCATTTACACTGACCTGGAACATTTCATTTTTTAAAAAGACAAAAAATTGTGCTCAGTAATTTAGACATGTCAAAGGACTTTTTAGAGAATTACACATGTCTGCCAGTGTACTCTCATTTTCTCTCCTTATTTCCAACTTTAGTTATTTTAGGAATTTCACAAGTACATATAACTATAAAATGTAGGTAAGTAAAACTCATCCAAACCTGATTATTTCCTGCATTGGCCAATTAATGCCAGAGACTACTTTCCCCTTTTATCTAGCCCTTTGTATTTAACTTCTTTGTAATGACTGAATTTATTTCATTTTAATATTAGGTCTTGAAGAGACAACTTAATACAAAAGAAATCAAACCAGTCATAATGTGGTTGCATATCAGAGCGGATTCCATAAATTTAGACATGCCTAAAAAAATCTATTTAATGTCTAATATACAAACATTAACAAATTTCAGTTCACATTTATGGGGGGAGGGTAGTATTATTACAGTGGTTTGGTTTGTTGTGTAAACAAGTACTTCAATAATTACTACTAAAGGAAGAGTTTTCTTAAATGCATACAGCAACCCTTAGCAATAATATTCAAGGAACTCTACACAAGGGAAAAAGCTGGAGTAGACACTGGCCAAACAGGTAAGAAAGGCATTTCCCTGGTTCTGCATACACTCAAACTAAGGCACATATATCGAAACTTATGCTTAATTTTTTCAATATTCCCAGGTGTCTCTCTCCTCAAAAAGCTAAAAGGGACCAGCCATGCAGATAAAAATATCCTACAAATTCAAGAGCCTAAAAGAAGTTAGAGCAGTCAAAAAGAGAAAAAGAATATAAAGACATGTGATTTTTTTTAACCTAACATTTCAAGTCAACCCACAGACTTGAAACTACATTTTCTTTCTGGGGCTGCTCACTGGCCTCGATTACATCAATCCTCTAACACTGAATTGTGGTGATAGATTGGTTCATGCCTCTAAACACAACAGAATTTTTCCAAGGTTATACACACTGTGATGCGAAGAACATTTTTGCAGCATCTTATTTTCATTAATCAATTAGTTTGAATATTCTAACAGTGCAAACATTATGAACAAAGAAATTTTCATTATCTTCTAAACTTTCCAAAGTCAACCAAAGGCTTTGGTACAGTGGCAACAAGTACTGAATAGGCAGAACTGAATCTGGTCAAAATGCTGCTACTACTGGTTTGTTGTCTACTTTGGGCATATATCACTTAGGGAGAAATTAAGGTACAAATATATTTTATTTACAGCAAAAATTTCTAAGGAACTGCCACATTATTACCATAGCACCAAAATCTCAAGGTCTTGTTAAGAACAGCCTGGGCTTCTGATCAAATAATAATATAAAAAAGATAAGAAAAAATGTAAAGCATGGTATTTTTAAAAATTATTATTTTTTATCTCACCCAAGGACATTTTTTTATTTTTTGCATTTAT